CGTGATAAAAAAGAAGTTATATCATAACAGACACTACAGAAATACAGAGAGTAATTAGAAATCATTTTGAAAACTTATACTCCAATAAAATTGAAGACATTAACAAATTTCTTAAGTCATACGATTTGCCCAGATTGAATCAGGAAGATATACCCAAATTAAACAGGCCGATATCAAGTGATGAAATAGAAGACGCCATCAGAAGCCTATCAACCAGAAAAGCCCAGAACTGGATGAATGCACAGCCGAGTTCTACAAGACCTTTAAAGAAGAACTAATACCAATACTCTCCAATATATTTCAAGAAATACAAAAAGAGGCAGCACTTCCAAACTCATTCTATGAGGCCAATATCACCCTGATCCCCAAACCAGTCAAAAACACATCAAAGAAAGAAAACTTTAGACCAATATCTCTAATGAACATAGATGCAAAAATTCTCAATAAAATTCTGGCAAATCGAATACAAAATCATATCAAGAAGATCGTGCAACTTGATCAAGTGGGACTCATCCCAGGTAGGCAAGGTTGGTTCAACACACAGAAATCAATAAATGTAATTCATCACATCAATAGATTCAAAGATAGGAATCATATGATTATCTCAATAGATGCAGAAAAAGCACTTCACAAAATACAGCACCTTTACATGTTCAAAACACTAGAAAAACTAGGGATAACAGAAACATATCTCAACATCATAAAGGCTATCTATGCTAAGCCTCAGGCCAACATCATTCTAAATGGAGAAAAATTAAAGGTATTTTCTCTAAAAACTGGAATGAGACAGGGATGCCCTCTTTCACCACTTCTATTCAACATAGTTGTTGAAACACTGGCCAGAGCAGTTACACAGATGAAAGAAATTAAAGGGATGTGTATAGGAAAAGAAGAACTTAAATTAGCAATATTTGCTGACGATATGATTCTATACCTAGAAGACCCAAAGAGCTCCACCAGAAAACTTCTAGAACTATTAAATGAATTCAGCAAAGAAGCAGGATATAAAATCAACACCCATAGTCAAAGGCATTTCTATATATCAGTGACAAATCCTCAGAAAGGGAAATGAGGAAAACTACCCCATTTACAATGGCCTCAAAAAAATATAAAATACTTGGGAATCAACTTAATGAAAGAGGTAAAAGATGTATACAATGAAACTACAGAACCCTAAAGAAAGAATTCAAAAGACCTTAGAAGATGGAAAGATCTACCTTGCTCTTGGATAGGCAAAATTAATATAATCAAAATGACCATACAATTTAATGCAATTCTGATCAAAATCCCAATGGCACTCCTCATAGAAGTACAAAAAATAATCATGAAATTCATCTGGAAAAATAAGAGACCCAGAATAGCTGAAGAAATCCTTATCAGAAAGAGTGAAGCAGATGGCATCACTATACCAGACCTTAAACTATACTACAGAGCAATAGTAATAAAACCAGCATGGTATTGGCACCAAAACAGACTGGTAGACCAATGGTACAGAATAGAGGACACAGAAACTAACCCACAAAATTACAATTATCTTATATCAGGCAAAGGTGCCAAAAACATGCATTGGAGAAAAGATAGC